AATTTATGGTTCAATGATTCTTACTTTTAAAATTGTGGTAGTCAAATCTAGACCATTTCGTTATTTTTATTCAGACTTGCTCAAAAGAAATTTAAGGTAGTTTATAAGTATGCATTCAATACAAGGTAAGGTTAATTAAACAAGACAGTAAAAATTAGGCAAAGCAAACAACGATGGAAAACTAAGATGGAACTAAGAGTTGAGTCCGTTTTTTTTTTTTTTTTAAGATGCCATTACATCCTTCCCATTCACTATGGGTCAGCCAGAGACTTGGTTGCATGCTTTCCTGCAGCACTTTTGACAAGTAAATACAGTGCTTTACAAGATCAACAGTGTTGTAAGGAAATACAGACCTCATACTTAGGAAGTGCACCGGTATTCCTAATCCTGGAATTAATTTCAGAAAATAGTTTTCCCTGTGAGTTCTCATGATAACACATTATAGATAAACGTACTTCAATAGCAGCCTACAGTAAAATGCAACACATTTTACAGGTCACTTCAAGGATTGTAGGCTTTTCTTTCAAGAATTTGTCATTTATTTTATTTTTGCAAAACAATATTTATTTCTGATTAATTTAGTTTAAAACAATTTAGGGAGCATGTAGCAAGCCTGGGATATCAAGGAAAGGAATGTTTTTCTTGATCTTAAAAATGCTTTAATTTTTGTATGAGGAAAAACACTTCATTGTGGATTTTTTTCTTAGAACAACTTCACTAGTTAAAAATACTTTTTCAAACATATTTGAGGTGGTGTAGAAAAACACACCAAAATGGTTATTTTTCAAGACTTCAAAGGCTGCTGCTTTGAGCTGCTTGGAGTAAGCTGGTTTATGAATCTCGACACTGCATTCAGAATGAGCACAACATACGAGTGCTTCAGCAATCTAGGCAACAAATATATAGTTCTGCTTGGGGTGCTAAAAATCAAATTCTAAAGTAGAAAAAAAGAGAAATGATTCTGCAGAAGCTGAGTGCAAATGGAAATACTATTCTATGTGTACATTTTCTAGATTTCTGATTGAGGACAAATAATTTTTCTGACATAAGTATTAATATGTTTAGCTGATTTTGGATTATAATTTTATAAGATAATAGATTCGTAAATTTAAAGGAACCATAAATGCTAATCAATTTGGTTCTCCACTACAAGCTTAAATCCCTTCTAAACTGTCTCCACCAAGGTACAACCAGGCTGTGCTTAAATAGCAGCATAGCATAGTGGTTCAGAGAGCCAGCTATGACATCAGACAGTCTGTGTTGGGGTCCCGGCTTTCCTATTTACCACCTACATGAACTTGGGCAAGTCTCTCAACTTCCCTGCACTTCCATTTTCTAATATATAAATTTGGGGTAGGTAAAGCACCTAGAACTGTGTCGGGCATGTCCCGGATACTCAATAACTAAGTTAGCTCTTACCATTATTACATTCTCATGCTATTATATATGCCTTCCAGGGAAGTTCATTTCTGTCTAGAAGAAGCAGAGGTTGTTTTCTTTTGTTTTGTTTTTTAATAGTAATGATAAGAGTTCACTTCTGGTGATAGCAGAGCAGCTTTTATTGAACTACCATTTGTCAATAGCAATTTTGAACTCTGGACCAAGAAAACACTGCAAACAATTATAAACTCAGAATTAAAATAATCGTTGGAAGTCCCTTGGGCATTAGTAAAAATAGGCAGAAACTCGAGGAAACATGATCCTTGAAATATGGAAACAAACTTGGTGAGATCCACACATAAACAGCTTTTTCTCTGAGGGCACTCCTTATCTTGCAAAGTACATAGGGATAGAGTTCAATCAGGAAGAGACAATCGGGCCTGAGATTCAGAGGTCAGAGTGTGGTTCTGTCAGAGTAGCTAGAAATTAAGGAGGGATATTCCAGAAAAGAGGGAGCGGCATGGGGAGCCTGAAACTCTGTGTACAAATTCTCCTCAAGTTGTTGGCTGGCTCTTAAACTGCACGCATGCGTGGTGAGACTCCAGAGAATCCAGTGGAAGGCCACAGCTGGAAGGCTAAGAGAACTAAGCAGAGCTGTAAGCAGATGCTTGGTGCTACAAAGAGACATTTGGGAATTCAAATCCAATCAAGTAAAAAAGGGACTAAGTTCTTTGTGCTTTTCATTAAAACCCTGGGAGGGTAATATCTTATGAATAAGGATTTTAGGACCAAGGACTAGAGATTAGGCCTTAAGGCAAAATAAAAATAAGCCCACCCTATCAAACCTCCATTAGATGAAAGTGATTTGTCAGTAACTTAACTGTATGCTAGAACAAAACTCAATGCTCTGCAAAGGAAGATCGCATATCTCTCACAACATATTGCCTACAACATACAGTACATAATTAAAAATGACTATATGTAGAGAGAGAGAGCAGGAAAATGGGATTCACAATCCAGAGAAGAAACAAACAGATCCCCCAAAGTCCCAGATGTTAGAATTAGCAGATGAAGACTTCAAAATAACTATGTATTCATGTAAAATAATCTGTTGGAAAGGATTGATAGAATGGGAAAAGATATGGAGAATATCAGGAGGGATATGGAAATAGGAAAAGAACCAAATGGAAATCCTAGAACTGAAAGATATATCTGAAATTAAAAATTCATTAAATAAACTTAACAGCAAATTAGGTACCACAGAAGGAAAACAAAAATCTGTAAACTTGTGGACAGATCAGTCGAAATTATCCAACTGAACACTGAAAGAAAATTTTTTAAAAATTGCAGAGCTATGATGACCTATGTGATAATATCAGGTGTCCTAAAAAACATGAAATTGAAGTTTCAGATAGGAAGGAGAGAGAGAATGGGGCAATTTTATTTTGAAAAAATTACGGGATAATTTTTTTCAAATTTTATTTAAAGCATTAACCATCCTCAGATTTAGGAAGTTCAATGAACTCCAAGCAAAATTAAATAAAAATAAAACCACACCCAAGAAAATCATAGTCAAACTTCTAAAAATCAAAGATAGAAAAAACATTGTTTTTAATCATCCAGAAGTAAAAGACACATTGCAAAGTACTAAGGAAAAGGACAATAAGATTAAGGCTCACTTCTCATCAGAAACACTGGAGACCAAATGATAATGGATTGCCTTCTTAAAAGTGTGAAAGAAGAAAACAGTCAGCTTATTAGTGTAGATGACTTACACTAGACTTACATTTAACCATATCATTAGTTATATTAAATGTAAATGGACTAAAACTTCCAAGTAAAAGAGATTTATGCATTTTAAATGAAAGACACCAACAAGTAGAAAATAAAAAGATGGAGAAATGGATATCATAGAAACACTGAATATAGGAAAGTTGGTATGGCTATGTTAGTATCAAGGTTGATTTCAAAACATGGATACTTCCAGCAGTAAAATAAAACTTAACGATAAAAGCATCAATTCATTAAGATAACATAATCCTAAGTGTGTTTACATGTAGTGATAAGAAATGTTTATTTTATAAATATCTGGTACAATAATTTCCTTTTAAGAGAGTTTCCTTAATTAGGAAGATGTTTTGTTAAGTCTGCTGAAGCAAGTGGTCTCTATGAGCCATAGATGTGGGCTAGCTTCCTTGCTTCAGAGAAGCAGGTAAAATTACTTGAGATGGGGAGACAGGGTCATAACTGAAAAGGCCAGAGGTAAGGTAGGCTTCAGACTTGATTCAGTCCAGAGGTTCACAGTCACATATGGGCTCTGATCCATTTCTCAGCGAGTTTCTCAGCAGCCCTCTTCCTTATGCTATTATATCTTCAGGATGGTTTCCCTCGTGGAAGCAGCAATGGTCATTGCAGTTCCAGGACTCACATTCTCACACAACACCATGAGTCAGCAAACTGTTCCCATAAAGGACTAAACATTTTAATCCTTGTGTCTCTGTTGCAACTAGTCAACTCTGCCATTACAGTGCAAAAGCAGCCATAGACAGTGTACAAACAAAAAAATCATGGTCATGATTCCAATAGAATATTTTATCAATTTGAATTTCATGTAATTTTCATGTATCGTGAAATGTTATTCTTCTTTGAATTTTCCCCCAACCATTTATTAATAAAAATAGAAAACCATTCTCAGCTCAAGAACTGAACAAAAATAGGTGGTGGACCAGATTTAACCTGCGGGCCATGGTTTGCTGACCCCTGACTTAAAAAATTGTCTGACTAGAGTTCTAAGGAAAAAAAAAAATCTTTCCTGGCATATGTTCCCTTTTCTCCATACATACACTCACTCAAGATAACCTCATCCAATAACCATTTATGTGCCAAAATCTTCCAAATTTTTAGTTTCAACCAAAACTGCTCCCCTATTTCCAGATTCCTATAGCCACCTGCCTTCTTGACATCTCCATTTAGAGGTTTAATAGCATTTTAAACTTAACGTTATCAAAACCTGTGAGGAACTGCGCTTCCTTAGAATGGGTCCAGCTCCAAGCAGCAGGCCGGGGCACATTGGCACTCCTATGGAATTGATGCCAGTGCCACAGGGTGGTGCGTCAGCATTCCTTACATTTCTAGCATGCATATGGTATGTCAAAAGACAAAACTGCAACAAATTTGGTTATAAATCTATTTGGCTTTTATTTGCAATTCATAAATTAGGGACAGCCTGCATTCTACAAAGTAGAATGAGAGCTCTCAATAGACAATAGCAGAATAGTAGGTTTTGTAATGTGGTAACAAAGAAACACAACAATAGGAAAGAAACCTTGATTGATTAGTGTCAGGTTAGTTTTGGTTACTTTTAATATCAGATTAGCTCAGGTTACAACAGAGGGGATTTCCTCTTTACACTGACTCAGGTAGACTGGAATCTCCTGTTTTCAGGAAAAACTAGTCTGTTTTGGGATCTAATTTTTTAGTTTCTGTCTGATGATTGGCATTCTGTGTGAGAGACTCTGTTCTGGTTGGGTCTCGTCTTTTGGGACCTAGTGCGGGGACATCGTTTTTGTTTAACAGGTGAAATGAAGTAGTGTTCTGATCACTCTTTTTTCCTCCTCCAGGGATGAATAAAATTGAGAAATAAATCAAGAGTATGATATCAGACTGAGGAATTTTTCAGCAATGACCATCAGCCTTTGAAAATTTGGTGAAAAGAAATAGTTATGGTTCGATGTCTTGCTCGCACAGAAGCTCCAGTTCAAAGCTGGATCTGCCCCGTCTGGTTATCCTGATACTCCAGATATCACTTTGAGTTCTTGCTGTTGCCCAGCTGGCCTCCTGCAGCTCCAGAGGTTTTTTAGCTCTCAGTTGGGCAGTTTAACTACTTTTTTCCCTGTTATTTCCAGATCTCTCTCTCTATATATATATCTTTAGCTTCCTTTCAGCTTATCCAGCTGATCTACTTCCTTGTCACGTTGCTTTGGCTTCCCCACTCTCTCTTGTGTTTTGGAAAGAATACATTTTCAAATAAATTGAAACTACATTCCAAGAAAAATGAGTATGCATGTGTATTTAATCCTTCATTTATTCAATAGACATTTTTAAGCATTGCTGTGTACTTGACACAGGTCTCAGCTCTGAAAACAGAACAAAGATCCATAGATTGTGGCCCAGCCCTTAAGATGCTCATAGTATATTGAATGCAACAGAAAGGTAAACTTACAATTTATAATACAACAATGTAGATAATGTTAGAATAAAGCCTAACCAAAATATTTTAGGAAGAAAGGGAAGTAATAAGGGTTTATAGAGGGGATGATGTAGTGACAACATTCAGAAAAGACAAAAGAAGGAAGAAAGGAAGGAAGGAAAACAAAAAGGAGAACCCCCCAGTCCAAGATATTGGTAGTTGAGCCACAAGATGATTACTTCCGGAAAGAAGTATTGAGAAGATGTATTGGGTAGATGAAATGCCTAATGAGACCATAAATGAGGAGTATTGCTGCTTATAGCATATGAGAAGATAATTTTTATCAGATAATGAAATTGTTTTCAGTCTTCAGAATGAAAATGAATCCCTTGCTAATGCAGATCATGCTAATAAAGGAAGTAAGAGAGAATGTCGGAATTACACTTGGCTGGCGGTAGGCAGACACCAACCTAAATAGCCCAGAAAAAAAAAGAAAGATAATGAAGTAATCAAAATAATTGCTTAATAGGGACTGTGAAAAATCTGCAATGTTAAATTATAAATGTACACTTTCAAGAAAAATGAGGTGACCTTAAGAAACAGAAACCCAAACTGACACCGGGTAGAAGCGATGCTTTTCAGTAGCAAAGCTGAGGATTAATTAAATCTGGGGAAACTCTTTGAAATCCACAAGTACAAGTTACATTTGAATACAATACAACTGGTATATTGGAATCATAATTAATGATTAGGATAGATTTATCTATAAATGTGTTCTGGAGTCATTCATGTGACTGATCTGAAATGAAGAGGACAAAAATGCTTTAGGAGGTATGTGTGTGGGGGGAGGAGGGAGAGTTTATCTAGTGGGAAAATAAATATATTACTCCCTTCCCCCTTTCAGATTGCCTAGAGACCCATCCCAAGCATGACGGAGGGCACCGTGCCCTCACCAGTCTCTCTGGGGAGTTAGGGAGGGGGCAGATTGGAGCGGCTTGTAGGTTATTTTGCTGTTATCTCTGAATCTTTTGCTTTGGCTGAATGATTTCAGAGACTGGTAGCAGAGAGAGAGAGGTTGAAATTGCAAAGCCTCTGACAGTTCTTAGTGCTGCTCAAGGGTGCAGCTTTGGATAAAATGGTCATGTTGACACAGCACATTAAGTATAGGTAAATGGAAGACTTGAGCAAGTAGGAGGTGGTGGTCGGAATTGTGTTACAGGACAAAGTCAAGGGAAATTAATTTCTTAAGGAAACTAATGGAGAGGGCAAATGGGAAAAGGAAGAGCCTGGAGGGAAGCAGATGAGAAGTAACAGGGAGACATAAAGCTCCTCCTCTGATGCCTTCAGAGAGAGACAGATGTAGTGAGGAAACCAGGAAAGATGGCTGGTTCACGTCTAGGGTGAGTCAGGGAAGGGCCTGAGTGAAGGAGGATGAGCTATAAATTTAACTGATTGAGAGCCACAGGGGCTCTGGATCAAAGGTGGTATAAAAATGCTAAACCACATTTCAATCCCAGGCTGTCAGAATTACACAGCCCGTGCGGTAGGCAGAAATCAACCTGCATAGTCTGGAGGAGGGCAGGCGACGGGGATTCAGTGTTCAGATGGAATTACAACCAAGTTTACTCTTTAACGGTGGCGTAACTCTCCTAACATTGCATAATGATATGGTTTTTAGTTTTAGCTTCACTGTTACTGTGAGTGTGACGTACAGATTTTGAATATGAGTTTGGTTGTGCTACACACACAAAGACCACTGAGAGATGCTGTTCTTTGGTCGTGTTTAATAGATAACTGTACATTCTGCAGAGCAAATACTTTGTGCTACCTCACCAAAATGCTCAGCCTCAAAAGACTCTTTTCTGAAAATCCTTGCAGAAAACAGGAATAGCAGCATATATAATTTTTAATTTGTTTTTTAAAATGCAATTGGAAGTTATTTTCTGACAACTAGAATGGAAATTAGCATAGTGATTTCATTTGTTTAAGTATTTGATTTTTCTCACAATTCTCCTGTCCCTTAAATCCTCCAAAAGGCACAGTTTATAACTTTTATTTTCCTCCAACCGCTGCCTTTCTCTGTTGAATCTCCCCTCCACACTGTAGGTATTTTCTTGCCAGGATCCTCATATTGTTTTCCAGTCACTTTCAACATATGATAAGTCCCATTTTGGGAGTCGAGATTCACTTCCCAGTGTTATGAGGTACAGTCCAGTATAAATCAAATTTTCCATCTTGCATCCAGTTCCAAGGTGTTACTCTCCTTGCCCTCCAAACAGGCCTGCACCCTGCAGGGAGGAGGAAGGAAGGTCTGTTTTCTCTCTTCTTCTCCTCATTTCATCCTGCTTCTTCTAGATGTTTCTTCCTTTTAGCATTTGTTAGGCCCAGGGGGATAAAAGTCTCCTGTGACTTATGCCCTTATAACATGCTTGTGTCCTCAGAGTGTCAGTTTTTAGTCCTGAAAGCAGGTGACAGGAAGCTCCTTTTCTGCATTCTTTAGAATGTGAATGGAATAGAATGCTGAGAGCCACTGCTCTCATCTTTGGGGCTTTGTAAAAGTACGGAGAGTACAAAAGTTCCATTGCACATCTTTTCACAAGCTTATACCTCATAACCTCCAGAAGTGACTCATTTTAAAGACAGAGAATGTAAGGTATAAAAAAGTCCATGGATCATTGCACAGTCTTTAAAGTGTCAGTGGCAGAGACCAGAGTTTCTGCTTCTCGTCTGTTTCATTCTCTTTGTTGTACTTCTGAGGCCCACAAACAAGACAGATATGGTCCCTGCCTCCTTAGAGCTTACAATGCCGGGAAATATTATGAATGAATGCACAATTACAGTGAAGAATAATAGTGTTTTGACAGAAAAATCACAGCACAAACTATTAATAGGAGCCCCTAAGTTAGGATGGAAGACTAGCATGCTCGAGGGCAGGCTTCCTGTGTCAAACACAGATCCCACGTGCCCCTTTGGATTCTCTCAACCCTTCACCCTGCACTGTGCTGCCAATGCCAGGGACCCACCACCCAATGGCCCCGAGCATGCCAGGCCCCCTCTTGGCCTCTGCCACTCAGCAAGAGTTAACAGCTCTTTGTGGTGGCCTGAGGGGTGAGGGGAACAAATTGATGGACCACCCCAGCTTCTGCACCCTGCAACCCTCACTGTGTTGGTGCCAACGCTGTGCTTCCCCGGGACACACTCAGCCAGTGACCAAGTGCCACAGGGAGAGAAAAGCAGGCCCATCCCTGTGAGATGTGGGATGCTTCTGAGGGGTGTCTTGGGCATCGGGACTCCCCGTCAGCCTGACTGACAATTTCTTAGAACTTCCTTCCCTGTCTCCATCATGGTTTGATATCACTCCCTGCTTTCTCAACTTCCCTACCCCTTTTCCCTGATAGTTGTTTCACCTTGGACATCTCCTGGACATCTAATCCAGTCTTGATGTCTGCCCAAACCAGCACATTCTACCACTCACTCTGGAAACACCTGTAGGGGAGGGAAGAAACCTTTTTCTTTTATCCTCCTAGACTCTCCAGGGGCTGGGGCTCTGCAAATTAGACTGACAAAAGACAGACTAGCAAGAGGAAAATGAAGTATATTAACACGTGCAGTGTGCACACACATACGGGAAACTCAGGGGTGAGTCACCAACGGGGTGGCTAGAACGTGGGTGTACAGAGCATCTTAATGGAGAACAAGAAATTTGTAGAGAGGTGACAACACAAAGGAAAAGGCTTTAGGCTTCTAAGGGCAGCAAACTGTGGGAAGGTCAATATATTGGGAATAATAAGTACGTGGAGTAATATCTGTTTGTGCAGGTCCATCTCTCAGCACTGATTTTCCACCTTCTTCGTGGACAAAAAGCTTCCCCGGGAGAGGAGATTTACAGCAGTTCCTCATTTCTTGAAAGTTTCTGCTTTTAGTCAAGAAAGGAAAGAAAGGATCGGATGACACGATGGTCTAAGGGAGTAAGAGAGTCAACCCCACGTGGATGCATTCTGTCCAGTGGGAAACAAGGGACAGGCGGGATCGAGGCAAATACATTTCACTTCTCCATTTGTCCCGTTCTGAGGTGTGGTTTCTCTGTACAGTCACCGTGAACAGTCCTCACTCCCCAGCATCTGCTGAAAAAACTTACGTGTCTCTTCAGGGCTCATCTTGAAGCAGTGGCCGATGTGTTGACAAGTTTCACATCCTTTCTTGCTTGACTGAATGTTTTTCTCACCTTGCTCACCCTCGGATCACACACGCCTGGCCCCTCCATACAGCATCAGCACAGATTTCTTCCCTTAGGCTCTGTTGTCTTGGAAACCAGGACTACAACAACTTTTAAACTAATACCAAATATGAAAGTCAGAAATAGCCTGGTAAAGATGGAGGAAAATATTCCAGACTTTGCGAACGGTATATTTAGAGACCTAAAAGCAAATTGGAGTGTGGCTTTTTATATTAGGGCTGTTTTAACAAAGTGCCATAAACTGGATGGCTGACAAACAACAGAAATTTATTTCTCACAGTTCTGAAGGCTGGGAAGTACAAGATCAAGGCACCAGCAGATTCGATGTCTGGTAAGGGCCTGCTTCCTGGTTTATAGACGGCCGTCAGTTAGCTGTGTCTTCACATGGTGGAAGGGACTAACTAGCTCTCAGGGGTCTCTTTTTTAGGAGCACTAATTCCAATCACATGGGCTCTAACCACATGACCTAATCATCTCCCAAGAGCCCCACCTCCTAGCACCATCTCCTTGGGGGTTAAGATTTCAACAAGTGAATTTTGGAGGAGCATAAGCATTCATTTCATTGCATTAGACTTTTTTTTTTTTTTGAGACAGAATCTCACTTTGTTGCCCAGGCTAGAGT